TTGTTTCACTACACGGTTTGACCTATTTCGCAACCTCGCAAAAGCATTCCATTTAGCTGCGCTGGGTTTATCTGTTTTCCATTTATCATAAGCTTCAGATCGTTTTTGGAAGAGATTTTTGATGTATGGATTAATCCATGGAGCACTAGGATAAACAGTAGTTTTCATTTTCAACGGGGCATGATCATCAATGACAGAATAAAGCATATCGTTTAAAATTTGTAATTTTCCATCAACTGAGTTGCAGTAATAAATAGCATCAAGATTGTACCTTTGCAAGTCAGCTAATAAACTATCGGTGTTTATCTTGTGATATTCTCTTGTCCAATACACAGCTGGAGGTTGATGAGGTACCTTAACTCTGTAATCGAAGCAGATCAAATCATGATCGCTAACACCTCCTATAAAGAAGATTGAAAGATGTTGCTAACGTTAAACGTACAATTTCCAAGTGCATAATCAATAAAAGATGAACTGCAGCCTGATTTATGACAAGTGGGCGAAAGAGGTAAAATTTTAACAAAAAGCGATTTAACCATATCGATTAACTTGTTTGTAACAGGTGAAGAAGTGTCACACAAATTTATATTGAAATCGCCCATCAATACGAAATGAGATTCAGCAGCACTGATTTCCAGCGCAAGTTCGAAAATACTGTTAAGTTTAGAAACCCTTACATCTGGAGGTCTGTAGACAATGCCACACACAAGCTTTGAATGAACTAATTTAACAAAAAGGTAATCAATTTCATCACCAGCATCAGACTTAGCAAGAACCTTATACTTTGCTTTACTGTTTAGATAGAAAGCTACTCCTCCGCCTCGCTTCTTATTGTCTAAAAGTCGATCAGAACGAACAATTTTGTAGCCATCTAACTCAACAAATTTGTTTGTTATTGAAGACTTCAACCAAGACTCAACAATCCCCAACACAGCTAGCTTTGAGTTCTGAAAGAAGGTTCTGTAATAATCAATATTTTTAACAATGCTGCGAACATTATGGAAGGCAATTTTAATGTAGTTCCTAGCGGGTTTCTCAATAAAGTGTTTCATGATCGTATCAGAAATGCAACGTGAATTAACCGATTCATAGACATCATCGGGCCTTACTGGATCGACATCATCGGGCCTTAGGACTGCTGAAGGCTCACTGGTCGATTCGCGTTTTTTGATTCGAATTCCCGGACCTGAACGCCTTCGGGCCAGTAGAAGGAATCACTGACAATACCAACCAGGTCATCAGATACCGTCACCTTGAAGGAGATGAATGTTAGCTCATCGATGTTTTTGTTTCTCGGAACTAACTTGGCACAGCGAAGTGTAGAATTCTCAGCGTTCGAAATCTCTTTGATGTATTCCAGGATGTCGACTTCTGTTTGATCAATGGCGAATGGTGTTACATAGAAAGACCTCAGCACTTCTTCAGTCTGATCACGTTGACGTTGGTTCCTATTTGCAACTCTCAGACGACATTCCGTTTGTGGGTTTCGTTGTTCATCATCTCCCGGGTTAGTGGTGACCGTTGCAGCAGATGATGAGGAAGAGAGAGCGGTGGAGGTGGAAGCAGTAGCAGCAGTTGAAGTGGCAGCAGGAGTACTGGCAGCAGCAGTGGCAGTAGCAGTAGCAGTAGACGTGGCAGAGGTGGCAGCAGTAGTAGTGGCGGCAATGGTAGTTGGAGCAGGAGTAGTGGCAGTAGCAGCAGCAGCAGCGGTAGTAGCAGTAACAGTTGCAATAGTATTGGTAGATGCAGTCGAAACGGAACTTGCAGTATTTTGGGTGGCTGTGAGTTGGTTCACAGAATTGTTTTCCACGATAGGTGATAGAGCTGCCAGACCATCCTCACCAGCTGATGAGTTCTCCAACTGCGATTGTAAGGAACTGTCCAGGTTTATCCGATCAATACTCGAATGAAAATCCGCAAGACCGCCACCAGAACAGCCGGAAATTAATTGCTGGAGACGATTGGATGCACTGGATTCCCTTCTGTTAGATGGTACAGCCGATAACATCCCTAATAAACAAATACCATAAACAAACTGTATCCCGGATGGGTAAACTATCCCCCAAATGGTTTGGATGATACCCCAAACACGTCGTTAAGCTCTATTTTATGGTTATTTTTATTAGGGATAGTATTGAGAACTTTCAAATTTTCTCCATATTGTCCGATGCGCAGGTCCATGGAATCCACACGTACCAGAAGATCCCTTAAAGTTTTCAGCAGCACTGTCTCTCGGTCCATGACAACAGGATTGAAATTTACTCGGCAGATGTCACAAAACCACAGTAGTCCCACATTCGCCGTCCAGGCTTTGTGATTCGTCGCGTTTAATTCAACACAGCAGGGGTGAAAAATTTTGGCGCATGATCCACTGCACAGGACGGTCTTATCCGTGTGCTCAGTTGGATTGCCACAAATTCTACATGGATCCATGATCATCAAATTCACCCTACGTTTCTGTAGCACACTTTCAGAGAGAAGTCCCTACCAGGAGAAGTATGTAAATTCAGTTGGAAACAGGAAATAGCAGAACTCAGAAATCTACCCTGAAACTAGAACTGCACTGTACAATTGCAAGCTAGGTTTCCTATACAATGCGAAATAACCATCTCGCTCAAAATCCACCAAAGCATCCGACCAGAACCAGAATCTAGCCGAGCTGATGTATACCAACTTTTGAGACCGCCGATATACACAACAACAGCGACTCTATTCACGCATCAGCACCGCACGCACTGTTTAACTTCTGAGCAGGACTGGCTCAGGTTGAACAACACGGCTTTTGAAACTGTCGTATATAAACACCTTCGCTATCCTATCTAATCGTAAACAGTGGAACGTGTGAATAACTGGAGCAAAACAGAAACAGCAAATTCTAGTACTACCCAAAGAGCAACTAACACAGATACAGTATGAGCACAAAGCAGATAATGAGTAACACCACCGATCGTTCCCTAAAGAAAACACAAACACTCCTGGCAACGAAATATCACTGTCAGTGGCGGCAGAATAGAAGCAGGGAGTGAATTTTCAAACCAGCTCACCACTTCGATTTGGGTAAAACTCGATGCGTACTTTATGTTGGATGGTACAGGAGCTAATTGTTAACCGATTCACTGAAGTTGCAGTCCAAATGGTATTAAACGATACCACAAACGAAGTGACAGACGGAGCGGCTCGAAAACTTTGGTGACTAACCTGCTATTTCAATTTTTCAGTGTACCACATGGCAACACTACTACTGGACTGGATTGTATTAGCATTTTCACCAAATGTATTAGAATGTTTTGGTTCTATCTCTTTCACTCTACTCAAAACTGAAATGCATAAAAAAATGACAAAATGATACACTCTTTGCACACTGTCAAAGAATCATTGTACACAAAATCAACTTTGTTCAAATCAAAACAAAAAAAACTAACCCATCTGGTGGATGATGGCACAAGCTTCCAAGAAAATTCTATTACAGTGAACCACATTATTTTAATGGATTTCTTCGCCAGTTAGTCGTCTGTCACTTCGTTTGTGACGATACTATTAAAACCGCCCGCATAAACAATAACCATAAGAAGCGCCTAACCACCAATTCGGGATATCATCCCTACTTTATGTGGGATAGTCGTACCATCTATGATATCGTTAGAGTATGGTACCCGTTTATTAGGGCGATTCGAAAACAGAGCGCTTATCTATGCAGGTTTGACGATTTAGCCGTTACGTTACGTATTGCGTATACGTATTTGCGAAGATATGACAGCGAGCTTGGCTCCGGATTCGATTAAAGCCCTACAGTAAAATTATGGACGTCTGTCAAAAGTTGTTCCAATCGAACCATCAAAATGCACCGCTTTGCTCGATTGGAACAGCTTTTTTCAGTTTTGCCGTGACAGTCGTCCATACTTCAACTAGAGGACTTTAGATTCGATACCTTCGATTTTATGTTCGATGGTTTCCAGAAACTTGTTTTATGTAGACTGCCGATCGTATGTTCTGTCAACTTCGAGCACACGAAGACGTTCGATTTGTTTCTTACACCAGGATCGTGAAACTTCCACCTCCTCACGCAGCTTGAGCATCTCTACCGACAGTTCCTCAGTGCGTAACCGAACTTTTTATCAGTGCGAACCTCGACCTGAACTACAGGGCTGTTACAACAGGCGCGGATTTCGCGAATTTTGCGGATTTCGCGAATTTTGCGGATTTCGCGATTTTCGCGGATTTGTCGCGGATTTGAACTTTCAGTCGCGAAAATCGCGGAAACATTAAATGATGTCGCGAAAATCGCGAAGGGACTGACGTGCTGTCACAAAAATTGTGGAATTCCTTGTAACCTTTCCGTCCCGGATAATTTGGCAGTCTTTAATTTTGTTGTTCATTTGGCTCTCAATGCTTTACCGGTTCAAATCAAACACCCTGCAAATAATTGAGAAATGATCTCAAATCCATAAGTCACACCGAATTTAAAATTGTTTAATCATTAATGAGTTAAGCCACTTTTCTTCAAAATGGGTCTTTTTTTACTCATTAATGAGTACTTTCAAGTTAGCGTGTAGAGCAAACGGCCCTTCAAATCGACCTATTTATCACTCTCCAAAGGGTTTGCATCTCACTTGCACAGACTCGCGCATTTCTCCGTATGAAAGGGAAAAAGTGGTCAGAATGACTAGCATGTTTCTATGATTTCTAAGATGACTTGTGTAATGTTTAATGTGATGGCACGTGCTGTGCCTCCATCGAAGATTTCACTGTTGGGCTCGTCTTCCAAATCCAAAGACAATTCAATTAATCGGGAATCAACTGAAGATCGGTGGCAACGCTGAAGGGCACCCAAATTTACCATTTACCGTTATTGAGATTTCATTGAACGCAAAAAAAAATCCCCCAACCCACCGTAGTATTTATTGCTGCCCGGAAATGTGTCACGGGTTCAGTCTGTTCTCAACAACGGCCGAAATAGCATCACCATGCTCCGGACAGTGTTAGTGACTTGGTGCGTGCTCCTGATGGCAACGGGAAGCGCCCATGGAGTCAAGTACCTGAGCGATCTGATCTCAAACCTGAACAAGACGTGTGAATCCCTCGGGATGTGGCAAAACTGGATGAGCCCATCGAAGACATCGCTTCCGCCGATCGGTACCAATTCGCAGCAAACGACCGTCGTCAGTTCGTGCAAAAAGGTTCCCCTGGACGCCAGTGGAGTGTATCTGTTTCAACCGTCGGAATCGATCTACCCATATCCGGTCTATTGCGATCAGGAGAGTTTCATCGGAAGCCAAGGGTGGATTGTGATCCAGAACCGGAAGGAGAACGGTCAGTTGAGCTTCGATCGCGATTGGACCGAGTACCGGGATGGGTTCGGTGATCCGAGGAACGAGTTTTGGTTGGGACTGGAGAAGATTTACCAGCTGATGAAACGGGACGAAAAGTACGAACTGCTGGTGATGATGAGAAAGAAGAACGGGAAAACGGAAGCGGCTCGGTATTCAACGGTTTCGATTGGAGGCGAAGAGGACGGGTATGCGCTGGAGCTGGGAAGCTATGCCTTCGGGAGTGCCGGCCATACGATGGAGTTTAGCAACAAGGCGAAGTTTTCGACGCCGGATAGCAACCACGATGGAGCGGGGAAGGAATGTGCCCAGCAACTGCGCAGTGGATGGTGGTTCAGCGATTGCGACGATTTACCGTAAGTCTCCGAAAAAAAAATGGTTGATTACATTCGATTGACAAATTTGATAATCGGTTTCAGATCGGGCCCCAGGAGAACGGTGAAACTGTCGGCGACGTGCGACAAAAGAATTCACCCCTACAAGGGATACTTCTACATGGGTGATCCTTGTCTGGACGAGACTCGAATACTCATTAGAGAGCTCTAAAGAAATCCCTTCCAGTTGCCATGGCTTATCTAAAGTTAATTATGAATAAACCAAAATGTACTTACTCATCAATAATCTTCATGCACTTTTTGTAGTCGCAGTTGTAGAAATACTTTTCCGCTTTGGACACGACCAAATCGACACAGTTGTCCAGCCGATCGCAGCAGTTTTGAATGTTGATCGCCGACGGGCTCTGCATACTGACCGGTCGATTGATCCGGTAGGGCGTCTCCTGTCTGGAAGCGCTCCCACCACTAACACCTCCTCCGCTACCACCGCCGGATGCAAGGAAGGAGGATGCCTTCGACAGCGATGACTGTATCAAATAGGACGGCGTATTCTTGATCTCGTCCAGAATCTTGTTCACCGGCGACATGAGCTTATTCGGGAGCGGTGTCGTGAAGTTCTTCGGTAGCGACGAAGCCGCAGCTGCTGCCTTATTACTCTCTATATTCTTACTGTTCTTCAGCTTCTCCGTCAGTTCGTGCAGCAAATCGGTACTGATCGTCCCGATCGGAGTCTGCTCGGTGTTGGTCTGAGGGGCAACCGATTCGTAGTACTTTTTGAGCTTACTTTCGTACAGCCGCTTCAGGATTCGCCGCTCTGCTTCCGAGCACTGTTGCTCCATGGGAATGTGCTGCATAAGTTCCTTCTCCTCCCACGCCATCAGCATCTCGTGCTGAACGAGCGCATCCAGCGCTTCCGAACAATACACCGACCTGTGCAACGCCTGCACGTAACAATCCATCGCCAAGATCCGATTATCCATCGCTTCCAGGATCTTCCCCTTCAGGAAATAGATCGACGCCAGGACATCACTTTTGTTCGGTTCATCAAACACTGGATCCTCTCCCACCGTTGATTCATCTTTCCTACCCGTGCCCATATTCTTGGCCAGCACTTCACAATCAACCGAATTCAAAATGTCCAACGCTTCCTGGTACTCCTTTGCTTCCGTAAGACATTCCGCGGCCAAATAGTGACACAGAAGATTCCGCTTGTCCAAACCGCGACTGCGAATGATGTACGCCGCCCGATGGTACTCCCGCAGCAGAAACATGCACTGAGCCTGCCAATACACGTCCCGCGGGTCGTTGTTACTCAGAACGGTCACCTTCTCCGCCCAAAATAACGCCGTCTGGTATCGCCGCTGAGGGAAAACAAACTTTGTTCCAACCAAAACCAACGCAACAAAATAATCCATTCAACACTCACCATATCCATAAAGCTCTTCATCAACCTCCGGTAGCCATCGACGTCGATCAGTCCCATCGAATCCGCCGGCAGTTGCTGTTCCATGGTCACCGTTCCGCCGCTGCCGGTGACTGCTGATGACGCTTTGTCGGTACGCATTTCTTCACTACTGCTGATGTCCAATGCCGCTGCGTGCTTGGGCATTAGGTCTCTCCTGATGCTCGTGCTTCCGGCCGTGAGATTGACTGCTATCCGAGATTCTGTAGGAGCACTTTTCGCAACGGAAAACCGGGGCAAAATTGTCACGAAAAGTAGTTGTTATTCGCGTTTCTGCCAGTACAACGAAATGCGTGTTTTGTTTTGGTTCTCTGCAGGATGCGATGCCGCGCTTTGACGTTTGCGATGCGGGAATGAATTTAGTGCACATTCGAGGGGTGTTTCCAAATTAGATCATTTTGGTGGGTTGGGCGTAAAGTCCCCTGAAGTAAAAGTATGGCCGTTTGTTGTTCCAATCGAATCGTCAAAATGCACTGCTTTGTTCGATTGGAACAACTTTTTTTTTCAATTTACCACTTTCAAGCAGTCAAGCAGTTTTGGCGTGATTTTCTACCAGCGATTTCACAAAACTGGACCAACTAATTCCTATTATTTTATGAAATGCACAAGTGATGGCTATTTTTCTCGTGGTTCTAAAAGAAAAAATCTCAAAATAATGTTTTATTTCAAAGTTCGAGTGGTAGTAAATGTCATTTTAACTGCTCGAATGGAGTGGTCAATTCTGTGGTGACAGTCGTGCAGTCGTCCATACTTTTACTAAAAAGCTTTAGTTTGAAGTTATATCAAAGTGAGACTGTGTTTAATAGACGAGCTGGATTACCGAGGTGAAGCAATCCGTTAAGTTGATGTCACTAATTGCGTTTACGTTGTTTTTGGATTACTAATCAACAATATTTCACGATTTGCTTTACCTCTCTCTGTACTCATTGCAAGTGCACGACATCGGTGCCCAGGAATGGCAGATTTGAAGACATATGACACGTACAGAACAAAAGTAAAATCGGTTTTCAATTGAAACGATAATAATCAATTAAAACACTAATTAACTCTTACACTGCAACGTCACCAGGGCATTTGTTTTACTTACAAATAAACATTGCCCACAGGGCATGCCAAAATTACTTTCAGTGATTTGAGGCTATGTCAGTCGTGCAAGAGTTAATGGTGGTAAGCTCTACCTTGTAATCGCAATGTGCTATTTTATATGATTGCGTCGAGGATTGCGATTTGGGCACATTTATGAGATTATGAATGCGGAAACACTAATAAAAGTGCGGTTTTACGTTAAATTGTTGTTGTGTCTTCATCGCACTTATTCCTTGGTGAATGAAGAATAAGTGCGCTGAAGGCGTCAAGACGATACAACGTCTAAGTGCACTTTTATTAGCGTTTCCACTCTTCTAAAGAGTTCAATTTTATTTGCAATTGATAATGTCACAAAACTATGCATAGGAGGCATCACTGCACTGCAAGCCACTTTTTATTGTTGTGTCATAGGATGTATTCTAATGTTTTATGCGTGCAACAATTTACATCGTGATGAAGTTTGATTCTAATGTAACGTTAGGTTCTGTTGTCATTGGATGTATTCTGATGTTTTATGCGTGCAACAAATTACATCGTGATGAAGTTTGATTCTAATGTAACGTTAGGTTCTGTTGTCATTGGATGTATTCTGATGTTTTATGCGTGCAACAAATTACATCGTTATGAAGTTTGATTCTAATGTAACGTTAGGTTCTGTTGTTATTGGATGTATTCTGATGTCAAATTTTACATCGTCAAGACGTTTGATTCTGATGTAACGTTAGAGGCTAATGTATTTTTATGTACTTGGACGTCACACTGAAGTCTGAATACATTAAGGGTACAGCAATATACGTTAAAATTTAATGTATTGAAGATGTCTGCTGATGTTTTCTACATTACAATTTCTATTCGGGATGTCTTCATTTTGAAGACATTTAGGAGACATTTCACGTATATTCTAAGAAGAAATTCCTCGGGAATCGGAAGCATGATAATACGGGAATTTTAGAAGAATAATAACACCTAAATTAAATAAAAAGTATGAGGAGAATTTAAGCGAAAGAATTCTAAATAGTTTGGACTAGAATTTCATGATAATAATACGGAGAGAATTCAAATGCAAATTGTTGCAAATAGTAAGCCTTGAATTTCCGGAGAACTTTGAGATTTGGGCGTAATTGCTTATGTAAACAAACACGTCTATCGCCGATTTCTCGTTAATTAAAACTCAATCTCGCGAGCAAACCATACCAAATGATAGAGGAATCATTTCTCTACCAGTTTGTGCCCTTTATTTTTTTAGATTGAGCTTTAATTTGCGAGAAATCGGCGATTGTCGTGTTTGTTTACAAAAGCAACTACGCCCTAATCTCAAAGTTCTCCGGATTTGATTTTTGATAAAACTATTATTCTGTCTGTACTACTAGTCATAACCAGACGTGTTTCAATTACCATATAGAAACCTTTAGGTTATGTCAAGGGGTGGTCACTCTACACACTTATTTTGCGCCTACATTTTTCTCAGTATACCTCAGTGTGCCGCAGCTGTACGGGCAGTGCCAAGAAGTCATTGAACTGACTTTTATTTGCTTGTGAATAATGCCTTGCTTGGCAACCCTGTATTTTAACAGCTCTTGTTTTTGTTTTGTTTCTGAATGGTTTCAAAAACGACACGGACTCCCTCTGGGACTATACACTGGATCAGTGCTGAGATTTGTCATTGTCACTGACAGACTTTCACGCGATATTGACTAAATTGTTCGTCACATAGTCACTGACAGACTTGATCCTCAAAAAACCTTCGTCAAATTTTTTCGTCAATTACAAAGATTCACCTGGTAACAAAAAGTGTAATTTAGTACATTCTGTATCACATTATTGTTATTCAAGTAGCTCAGGACGTAGATACTTATTCACTAAAATGGATCCATGTAATTGTTGCTGTGTTGCTCAAGTCATTTAATTTCGTTACAAATTTAGCTAATAAATAAATCTGCACATGTTCGTCACTGACAGCATTGTCATTGACAATTGACATGGTTTGCCTTGACTATGACTGCTGGCTCCAATGAGTGACCAAAGCAGAATTGTCAATATCACCGTGTACTGTTGAGATTTTGCAGCACTACTGGATGCATCCGTCTCCAAGGATGCCTGCAACGGACGAGCTCCGTTGCTACACGATCCTTCCATCTTCTGCGGAAGGCCGACCCCGCACAACGAACGTCAATCGTTAGTCAACCAGCCCTTCTGGGAGCCGGCGGAGGAAACGGATTTGCACCGCCCGAGTATCATCCGTTGGAAAACTGGAAACCAACTTCGGCCGGAACACACGTCGGAACTGGAACTGGAAGACAATCTGGAGGTGGAGGCGTATCGCTGCCCATGGTGGAGTGACTTCGTGGTCGAGAAAACTATCAGGCCTATTCTGCGCGGCGTGTGAGGTGAGGTGACACGCTCTCACTTGTGAAGTGACAATTGTCACCTCGGGTGAGGTGACTCTCCGTGCAAATCAAATGGAGAGTCACCTCACCCGAGGTGACAATTGTCACTTCACCATCACTTCACTGTCACTTCACCTCACACGCCGCGCAGAATAGTCCTGTATTATTCGTGGGATCCGGAGAACGCGCAATCACTGAAGGCATTATCCACAATTTTCCTGAGCATCGAATCGATCAACTCGGTATAGCTTGGTGCAATCAGCGAATGGGACAACCTCAAGAACGCTTTCCTGGACGATGGAATTTCACGGCGGATTAGATTACTACGTAAGTTGGCCAGTATCCGTCTAGGTGACTACTCCATGCGTACGTAAATGAGATGATGAGCGCAAGTCATAAGCTGAGCGATGCAGGATTCAAGGTTGATGACGACAGGTTGGCCAGTCTGCTGCTGATGGGACTCCCCGAGGTGTACGAACCGATGATAATGGGCCTCGAGGTGTCTGGAAGGAAGATCACGGTGGATGCGGTAAGGCCAAGATGGTACAAGATGTCAAGGTTTCCAACAATTCAAGCTCAAGCGGACATGATGGTGAGTTCTATTCCCAGCAGCAGAAAGAGACGAAATCATTCAACAAGGCTGGCGTAAAATGCTACAAGTGCAAGCGTTTGGGCCACTAGAAGCAGAAGAAGGCCAAATCGAACAAGCATGCTGAATTATTTACGACAGCCAATTCCTCAATCAGGCGCGAGGTGAGTTGCCACTTCGCACATGTGTCACAGCGGCATTACACTGGAAGATGCGAAGGAGGTTCAGCAGCGAATCTGCGAGGTAAACAATGCAGTATCGACGGTAGAGGCCGTTGGCATTCCCGATCTGGTGATCAACAACCATGAGTAAAATTTGCAGCAGTGGTTACACAGTACCGTTCTCGGTGCGAGGTGCGATCGGCTTCCAAAGAGGTAATTACCATTGGAAGAGAAAACGGTGGACTCTATACACTATGTTTGGTAAATGAACAAGTTTTCTGCGTGGCCGAGGAAGAAATCGACATGATTTTGTGGCCCCGAAAAATGGAGTATTTGAACATGCAAAGTCTCAAGATGCTCAGGTCCATAGCAACAAGGATCGATTTCGTTGATGCAGAGGCCTGTATTGCGTCCTTGAAGGGAAAAATTGACGACAACAGCCGCAAGATGTTTGTGTATTTTCTGAAGTCGAAATAGCAAGTTGTGCAATGTTTTCAAGATTTCAAGTCGATGGTGGAAAACCAGACCGGCAAATAGATCTTTGAAAAGTTTCCTCGCAGATCAGGGATTCACCACGAGGTTACAGTGCCGTTCAATCCGGAGCAGAACGGTCTAGCTGAGAAAGAGAATCGAAGCGCTTTTTCATTGGATATTCCGATCGTTTGAAGGGACTTCGGATCTTCAATCCGAGAAGTACCAAAATCTTTGTGTCACGTGATGTCGCCTTTCTGACCGAAGGTAGCGGAAATACTGAACAGAGGTCGGAAGTTGAACCTGTGAATGAAATGATGATGGAGTTGTTGAATGATGAAAGCGAAGAGGGTAGTGAAGTTACCGGCTCACCAGAGCAGTTTTTGACGAAATTAAATTGAAGAGATCAAGAAAACCTGTTGGAAGAGGACGATTTTGAAGACGAAACGGATTGCGACAGTGCAAACGACACCATTGAGACGATTCTGGTAACCTCGTCTGTGCGCCCCTCACAACAAGATGAGTAGCAAAATGTTGTCAGGCACAGCGAGTGAGAGCGCCGAACCTCAAGCAAGTGTCAAAATTTTGATATAACATACAGTATACTTCCTGAAACGTTTGTTGAACCCCAGGTAACCATCGAGCATGAGAGGGTAATCGAGCCGCACTCAGTCGGTGAGGCAATGGAGGCCGACGATTGTGAGCAGTGGCGTGAGGCTATGTAAGTTGAGATGCATTCGTTGACCATCAACAAGACATGAAAGCTAACCGAGCTACCGGTAGGCAGGAATCCTTTGAAGTCTAAAGCGGAAGTTGAATCCGGGTGGATCCGTGGAAAGTTACAAGGCAAGGCTTGTTATTAAAGGATTTTCGCAGAACAAGGGAGTCGATTTCAAAGAGACCTACTCGTCGGTGAGTTTTTGTTGTTTTCGACGGATCAAACTTTAATCGATACCGTGAAGAAGCAGTTAATGGCGAAGATTAATATGAAAACCCTGGGAGAGGCTAAGCATGTACTCGGTATGCTAATCACCGGTTGTGACGCCGCAGTTATGCTTGATCAAGAAAGGTATGTAGATGGACTACTGGAGTGGTTCAATATAATCAACTGCAATACAGTATCGACGCACATGGACCCACATTGGCGTTTGACGAAGATGGAATCAGCAGAGCAACAGAAGCAACAAATGAAAAGAATTTCGTATCGCGAATTGGTACTTCTTATTCTTATTTGCATTTGAAGCTTATTGCTTAGCCCATATTAGCTTACAAGCTAACTTCTGATTACTCACCAGGTGAGTCGATCGTACTCACTTTCGTCCGATGTATCGAGTTGTCAAAAATTGAGTAAACGAGAAATGTCAAACTGAGTAAAAGCCACTCAGTCAGCAAAATTTTGGACTTGGAAAAATTGCCAGTCATGAAATGTTACTCAAAACCAGCTGAAATGCCTTCAGGTAAGTACGAATTGCTTAGGGAAACGGTGTTGAACCATTTTCTGCTCCGGTAGAATGAATCCGGTGCAGGCAATTTTCATTTCCTTGAATAAAAATCAAAACAAAAACCCTCCCCGCAACTGAAAATACCGCCGAGTGGATTTGACTCAGTCTACGTGAGAACGTCGTTTTCTCAAAAGTGAGTCAACATAAGGCTACTCAATTTTGAGCAGCCCTACTTGCCACTGAGATGAGTACATTCGACTCAATTTTGAGTTAACCAGAATAAGCATGCAATGCATGAATTTGTATATTGTGTGGCAAGCACAATGATACTCTATGCCCAGGGAAGTCCAGAAAATTTTCAACCCGAAAGATTCCCTCGACCGGACCGGGAATCGAACCCGCCGCCTCCGGCTTGGTAATACCATAGAGGTAACTCTAAGACCACTGGGTCCCGAAGAAAATCATTATTATTTTTGGCTCACTCAGTACCAGAACAACGGTCCCAAGCAGTCCCAAGCTATTTCACTCACCCCTGCATGTTCTGCATGAATCCACACATCCCTGATGTTATCTGTCAAACTTTCATAGCGAATCAAAACAAACATAGTGTAGTAATAGAATTTCAACTAGAATAGGGTACGTTAATCGTTTGCTTAGGACCAATAGGCTACTAAAGTGGTGAGCCAATTTAAAATCGTTAGTTTCGTATTGATTGTTGGTAATACCGTGCCTTTACTGACTAGGCTATGGGGCCCTTCGCGAATTGGTATCAACCCATTATTTGTAAGGTTCACTTCGAAATAACCATAATACATAAGGTTAAAACTTTATCACACAAACGTTCATGTAAAGCTCCATAACCATTTCAGTTAAAGTTTAGCAGAGATTATAAACAATTTTTAACCATTTTCGGTAAGGTCACGTTATGGTTCGCGTTTATGCGGGCGACGAGGCTGGATTTTTTCATAGAAATAAGTCTAATAGTACGTTCAGACTACAGAGTTATAACATGTTATAGCGCTATCTTGATGGTGGTTTCTGTGTTGCAATTATTTGACAACCGTTATAACATGTTATAACTCTCCAGTCTGTACAGCGTTTAAATTGAGTGTAGTGAAATAACGAACAAAAAACCGAGGTTGCGATTGCCCTAAAGTTCTCCTAAAATTTGACATTAACGCGATCCACATCAGCCGATGACGAGAAACTTCATCCACACAACTACCAAAACAACGGAAAGACAAGAAAAAGAAGCTCCCCACTAATCAAAAAGTGATACAGCGAAAGCCAGCAGCCTCTGTTCGAGTTGAGTGGTGCATTTCTCTTCTACACATTCTACCAAGTAGTGACGGATTTCTGCTGACGAAGGCTATTTTTTTTCGTGCACAAGTTGTTCTGTTTTGGCTGTTTTCCACTAATTGATAACAGTTATCGGCGTTTAACGTAGGACATAAGCTCCAGGAAGAACGGCCGCGTAGAAAGGAAGCGGTTTGTATTGCCTTTGTGCAGGGAGCTGCCAGTGAAAGGCCGACTTTTTGCGATTCAGATCCGTACGAGGAGCGCAGCATAAAACTGCAGCAAGATGATGGTGAGTAATTTATTGATAAAAAAAATACAAAGCGAGCTCTCTTGGTACTGATAAGAGGCGGAATCGATTTGTAGGACGGTACGATCGAGGAAAATGGAAACGGAACTCCGCTGGCCGGAAGTCCACTGGACGGGCCGGACGGGATGGTATCGACGCAGAATAATGGTCCCACTGAACAAACAATGCAACAGTCCCAGCAGCAGCAACAGCAGGGCAATAATAATAAACCAGATGCCACGGCACTCCCACCAAACTCGCTGATGGTGAGTCATCCAATTAGTGGGAAGTGATTTGATTAGAAATTTGTATATGTGGTTTGTTTTTTTTTTAGGTGGACATTTCGGACGCGTTGAGCGAGAAGGAGCGTGTCAAATTTACCGTCCATACGCGAACCAATTTGCCCGGTTTCGCCAAGTCGGATTTTCTGGTGGTCCGGCAGCACGAGGAGTTTGTGTGGTTACACGATCGGTTCGAGGAAAATGAAGAATACGCCGGTTACATCATTCCACCGTGTCCCCCGAGGCCGGATTTTGACGCCTCGAGGGAGAAGCTGCAGCGACTGGGGGAAGGCGAGGGAAACATGACCAAGGAGGAGTTCAAGAAGATGAAACAGGAATTGGAAGCGGAATATTTGGCCACCTTCAAGAAGACGGTAGCGATGCATGAGGTGTTCCTGACACGGTTGGCTTCTCATCCGGTGTTCCGGAACGATGCCCATCTGAAGGTGTTCCTCGAGTTTGACCAAGACCTGTGCGCGAAGCTGAAGAAGAAGATTGACGTTTTCGGAGGGCTGATGCGCAGCATAGGGAAAACGACGGACGAGATCTACCTGGGAGCGACGGTGAAGGATGTGAATGATTTCTTCGAACACGAGCTGCAATTTTTGGGCGAATATCATGCACACCTGAAGGAAGCGGCCACCAGGACGGAGAAGATGACCCACAAGCACAAGGAGGTGGCCGACTCGCATATCAGAATCTCAACGGCGCTGATGTCGCTCTCGACGGCGGACCACGGGGCCATGGAGCGGTTTCTCGCCAAGTCGGCCGACATCTTCGAGAAGATTAGGGTAGGAGGCAAACAACATACGGTTGTGTTGATCGGTTATGCATTTTTATCACGCCTTATTTGCAGAACATGGAGGGTCGCGTGGCAAGCGATCAGGATCTGAAACTGGGAGATACGCTGCGGTACTACCAGCGCGATAGCAACGCAGCCAAGGCCTTGCTGATTCGACGACTCCGTTGTCTGGCCGCGTACGAAGCCGCCAACAGGAATCTCGAGAAGGCCCGCGCCAAGAACAAGGACGTCCATGCGGTGAGTATGTTTGCTTCACCATCCCTCCCAAGCTGCTGTCAGTTTTATGTTCGGTCTGTCCGTGTGTCAATGAAGCACCAAATCTTTCTATTGTCGCCGTCGTCGTCTTCTTCGTTTTCTTCGTTGCCACAAAAAATTGAATCTGTCTTTCTTGATCGTTTTTTTTTCTCCACCCATGTTCATGTCTGAAGCCATTGGAGGTGCAAGAGGTACTGGATATAAATTTCCTCTTCATCACAACATTGCCTTTGCGTTTTGTGGATTTAAGTTATAATGCTTTCGTTTAGTTCAGTCGCTTGAAGTTTGTTTCTTGTTTTTATTAAGTTTTTTCTGGTAGCACTTGTTAATGCATAACTAGTAGCCTCTTTCGGCATAGTTAGGTTTATTTCGTAATTGAACATTGATTTGATTGTTTTTTTCTTCTCTACCGTTTTACTATTGATGATCGATCACAGGCTGAGACGGCGCAGACACAAGCCTGCGAGAAGTTCGAGTCGATGTCCGCTCGTGGAAAGGAGGAGCTGGTCAGTTTCCGGCTGCGCCGAGTTGCTGCATTTAAGAAGAGGTGAGTGCTTTGTTTACTGTGTAGGTTTCGTGGGTTGTTTTAGACCTATTATCGATTGTGTGCTACTGAACCGGGAATTGAAGCATGTGGAACGGCCATTCTGTATCCTGTGTGTCAGAAGCATGAAGATGGAATTCCTGTTCAAGACGTGCAGTTCATACCGGATCTATCGACAAACCTGCTGTCGGTAGTTCAGATTGGTGTTCCAATCAAGTGGCTGTGAGATTTTCAACGCAATTGGAAGTGGCTGGTCAAGCGATGGGACATTTCAGCTTTGACAGCGTGAAGAAACTAGCCAATGGTGTGGCAAGCGGTATGCAAATCTCAAATGAAAGCCACAACGATTGTACCGTTTGTCCAATGGGGGAAGCAAACACGTCTTCCATTCAGTAAAGAGGATCAAGAGCTGGAGAACTACTTGAAGTTATCCACTCGGACGTAGCGGGACCAATGGAAGTTCCATCACCATCGGGAAATCGGTATTATGGGTCCTTCATTGGAACTGACCGGTCGTTTAGGCTGTTCGTGTACTTCTTGAAGTTTTAAAGAATTCAAGGCGCAGGCGGAGCGCCAGTGCGGATAGAAGATAAAAATCCTGCGAACGGATAATGGTAAGGAATTCACTAATAATGGATTCGAACGTTATTTGAAGCAGGTAGGAATCCGACACCAAACCACCAACGAGTCACGCCAGAGAAGAATAGGCTGCGCCAACCGGACGATTTCAGAACTAAGCAAACCTTCCGAACTCTTTCTGGGCGAAGGCAACGGCAGTAGCGGTTTACCTCGTGAACCGGTCTACCACATGTGGTCATGGTTTAACTCCTGAAGAGGCCGGGAGTGGCAAGTACCAAAGCAGAAACGACGACAGGGGGATTCGAAATCGAAACCGATTTGAGGAGGAGACAAAAGGATATCGTCTATGTAATCCTGTTTCGAAGAGCTTCTTGAAAGGCAGAAATGTATGTTTCATCGACGAGTGTGCTGGTGCATGCGTTCTTCCGGCAGAGCAGCAACGGGCGATGGTTCCGGTGAATTTCGAGAATGCTCCAACTCCAGAGGATCCCACAATTCCAGGAAACGAAGATGAGCTAACTGATTTTGAAGAAGACATGAATGATGTTTCCACAAATACGATAGTTGACGTGGCCGTGCTCCCTCCGCGACAATCTTCAAGTGGAAGGGAGCACGTACTTCCAGGCAGTGCGAAGGTCTTCTCGCAAAACTTTTTTCCCAGCCAATCCCAGACGATTTAAGCGATTTCGATGTGTGCAGTGATGCTGAAGATGGTTCCGAGCAGTGGTTGGCAACGGAATCGAGCAACACAATGGTGGCTAGAGGCACGATCCTACAAGGAAGAAGGCGATGGCAGAGGAAATAGAGTCGATTCACGCGAACGAGACGTGGACGTTGGCTGATCTCCCTACAGGATGGAAAGCTGAGGGCTGCAAGTGAGTCAATCAAGACCCCAACGAAGAGATATCCGGTTCAAGGCTCGTCTCGTCGCACAAGGTTTCAGTTAACAGTACGGATCCGACTACGATGAGGATTTTGCTCCAGTTGTACAGCAAACAACTTTCCGGACGTTGATGGTAGTTGCGGCAAAGAAAGACATGACTATCAAGCCATTCTTGAATGGTGATCTCGAGGAGGAGATATATATGCGACAACCATGCGGACACGTTGTGAAAGAAAGCGAGGCCAAAGGATGCTAGCTTAAACGGAGCCTGTACGGTTTGAAGCAAGCGGCTGGAATCAGAGGCTTGTAACGGAAGCAGCTTAAAGGACGTTGGTGTTACGTGCTTGTGTACGTTGACGATGTGGTAGTGACGAGTGAAAACCCAAGGATCATCGAGTCGCTCGTTAAGACATTGAAGAGGTCGTTCGAGATCAGCGTACTTGGTGATCTCCATTATTACCTGGGTTTGGAAGTGGAAAAGGTCGGCAATGGTGACTATTTCTTGAACCAGAGAAAGTACATCCGGGAGGTAATCGCAGCAAGTGGTTTGACAGATGCCAAAGTTTCCAAAACACCACTAGACCCTGGATACATTAAGAGTAATAGCGAGGAAAGCCCACTTTCAAGCTATTCTAGATAGCGCTGGAATTAGGGCGTAACAGCTGTTGTAAACAATGACTTCTATCGATGATTTCTAGGAACTCAAGGCACGCCCACGCAGACCAACATAACCATCGGATAGGGGAAGTCCTTCCCTACCCGATGAGGATGTTGGTTTGCGTGGGCAAGCCTTGAATTTCTAGAAACCATCGATAGAAGTCATTGTTTACAAAAACTGTTGTTGTAGAAGCCATTGTTTTATCTGTCAGCAAATTCCCTTCATTGCACATGGCGCTAATCCGCTCATCAAGCTTCTGGCGATACTCGGCAGCAACACCTTCTGCTGACAAGCGATGGATATATTGAAACGCATCGATCGTCGGTTCGTTGGATTCGTAACGGTCGACAGACGCGCTTTTGCAGAGAACAAGATAATGATCTGAGTCAATGTTAGGCCCCTTGAAAGTCCTTACATCGATAACATCTGAGAAGTGCCGGCCATTTGGATGTCTCCAGTAGGTGCTACTGATGGCCATACCTCTAGCAGCAGCGAAGTTTATCAGTTTCAGGCCGTTATCATTGGTTACTGTTTGTAGGCTCTCTGTACCAATGATTGGACGAAAGAAATCTTCCCTCCCGACCTGCGCATTTGCATCCCAGATTGCAATCTTCACGTCATGTTTTGGGCACTCATCATCAGTATCGAGACTGTCATAAAACGCGCCCTTCACGGCATCGGATTTATCGTTAGTTGGCGCATAGATGTTGATCAGGCTGTAGTTGAAGAATTTGCCCCGTATCCTTAATACACAGATGCGGTCGCTTACGGGTCTCCATCGCGTAACACGCTTCTTCCTCTTCCCGATCATTATGAATCCTACTCCATGTTCTGCTCTATCGCCACCGCTGTGATAGATATGATATTTGAAGGAAGTGTTGGTGATTTGATCCACCGCCCGGAATTCACGTTCTCCAGATCTAGACCACCGTACTTCCTGAATAGCAGCTAAGCTCACTCGTCCAGGTTCATTTAAAGTTCTGACATTGCAAGAACCGAGTTTCCATTCATTGTCCTTATTTCGTTGTCGAAAATGTCGTTCGTTGTTTTCACTCTCTTCGTTTATCTGAGTAAAGGTGAGATTTCGGTATGCTACCTTACCAAGGTTGTGATACCTACATCATGTTGATGGGGTGTAGCTGTACAGCATTTCTTATTCAGCCGCTCGCTCCGAGACAGACGCTGTTTGAGCTGCACCTCCATGGTGAACAGACGCTAGAGAGTCGCACCTCCTCACTTTGCTTTCACCACGATCCATGTTTTATCGGGGTGACATTGCCCAGGCTACGCTACCACCATCTTTTGCTGGCGGTCTTTGTCATCGGCTGACCCGTAGAAGCGTGAGGTAGGAACTTGTGAGGACCAGAGCTGTTGGGACAGCACTCCTTGCAGGTTGTCGACTCACCGTTTGTAGTTCTTCATATATGTTATATATAAATATATATTCAGTTATTTAAACATAATTGTTCGGTATTTCATTTTTAAAACATACAATATTGTAGAGAACTATTGAAACAGTCTCAGGTTCCAGAAGCCCTGACCTAAAATCAATGTCTGACTACTAATTTACATTTACTTCTATTTGACACGCAGCCTTATCGAACTGGCCGAGCTGGAGATGAAACATGCCAAAACGCAGTACGAATTCCTTCGCCAGTCGTTGCTTGCCCTGCAGGAGATTGCCTAGACGACGACGACGACGACGATCTTGAGGACGGACTGAAGAGTTTTGGGTACCAAGATAAACCATATTACAGTAGCATGTGCGAACGCGGCAGGCCCTAAAAGTGTGAGTACACGGTATGGCTTGGTATGGTGTGCGTGTATAAGTGATTGCGACCGCGAGTGCGAGTGTATGTGTATGAACGAGCGAACGAAACAAAGAACGTCGCTGCCCTTCTCGATGACGACTGTCTGTGGAACAATATAGCTACCATATACCTATACATATGGACATATACAAACAAACCAACACACACACACCCACACATATGCTCTGGTCTCGTAAATATCTTATCAAAACAAAAAAACGTGAAAAATGACCATCGTCCGGTTGGTCTTTAGGCTGACACAACAACACAACAAAAACAATACGACGAGCTATATTGAAGGAAGCGGAAACAATAACGAATGTATTTTTCGTGCGTAGTGCCGACGGATGATTAGACTAAATAGGACAACAATCAGTGGCTTTTTCCTTTATTGCAAAAAAAAAAACAAATATCAACAATTGTGAGATAAACGAATTCCATTTATACTTTTGCTATTACGAAATTAAATTAAAGAGAAAAGAAAATTCATTTATGCTTTTCACACAAACACGGTACATATTGTATTTAACCAAGCATTTTGGTTGCTCCCGTTAACTATTTGATAGACGATGAAGTATTTTTCGATTCGAATTGCATTGATTTTCTGTTTTGATACGAGATGAAAGGAATATTTTACTAAAATCCAATTTACTGTCAATCCTAAGTTGTTGATCGAAAATAGTAAACATTCAAACGACAACAACAACAACAAGACTATGAGGAACAAAATAATCAAAGGTACGATGCAGACAGGTGGGAGATGTATAAAATCGAATCATTACGGACACATACACAGAAAGTGAAGAAAAAAGAAACATTCATTCATTTTTATCATTATTAATATTATTGCTATTATTATTATTAAAATATTATCATTATTATATTTCGATTCAATGGGAAATAATAATATATTCTGTATATGATCGTGAGAAAATTACGTGGAAGACGAGGGTGTTATTGATCCGAAAATCCTTGAAAAACTTTTTTTGAAGTCTCGAATGTTTTCCACAGAGCTTTATGTTTAGATACTGAATTGTGAGATGTTACTATTTTTAATACAGTTACTGGGAGGAACAAATTGAGAACTGAACTGCAATTGACAACGTTGCTAGTGTAGCCGTGTGAACTCGATTTGTTTATTATTTTCAACCACGAAATCAGCTGTCGAAGTGTTCGACTTGAAAGCGGTTTGATTTTTATGTTCAACCAGTAAAACGCATATATTAGTGTAACTTCTCACTAATACTAACGGTGGTAGGGAACTCTATTTATCATGATCGTTTCTTAAAAATATCATGTTCAAAAGAACGGAAAATACTCATCAAATGGTAATTTTAACTTTCTTTTGATTATTACCTCATCATGTCGATCAGAAGTGACGCTTTCCTGCTGCAATTTATTGACAAATGATACAGACACCATTTTGAAGAAAAAAATACAGCAATCAAAATAGCCGATTTTTTTTTACAAAAATATGAACGATTGCCTATAGCACACAATTATGTCAGTTGGCGTGGAACTCTTATGTCAAATGTGTATTATGCTAAACGGCGTTATGCGTAGCGCTATTATGACAAATAATATTATGCCAAATGGGGTACCCCTAAAAAAGGATATCCAGAAAAGTAAAATCCGAGATCTTGAACTAAGATTTTTTTTTCAAAATGTTACACAATTCATCAAGATTTTGAGACGGACTTAGCACATGTTTCGATAGCCAAAATCTTTTACATATGCCTTGGAACATTAAACCGTTCACGATCGTTTTGCAGCGGTTTTTATTTTTGATTGATTAATTTATTTAAAGCGGCTTATTTTACCGTACGCACACAAATACACTTTTAAAAGTTATTTGAATATTGCATTTAGATTTCCATAGATCGCGAAAGGCGTCTTCTTTTGTAAAATTGAACCGAAAAGATCTCGAAAAATAAAGCTCCTGAAGCCACCAGCTGATTTCTCTTCAAAAACAGTAGTTCACGGCTTAGTTACTAATTTACTTACTTACTTGTTCTTTGTTTGTTTTATTAACGAACCTTACTGAGTGTGTTGATTTATTTCCACGAATTACGCGTAACTGTCAAAAGATAAGCAATTATAACAGCATTAAAAGGAAATAATGCAACACACTCAAAAAGCTCTTCACTAACTTACTTACTTTCTTACTAACTGACTCATTATCTTACTATTTACTCATTGTCTTACTTACTTACTAACTAACTTACTTACTTAGCTTTTGTTTGTTTTATTAACGACCTTTTAAGCTAACTTAGTCACATACTTACTTACTTATTTACTAACTTACTTACTTACTGACTACCTACATCACTTACTTACTTAGTTTTTGTTTGTTTTTCTAACGATTCTTTAAGCTTACTTACTTACTTACGTATTTACTCACTAAATTACTTACTTAATTTCTTACTTACTTACTTACTTACTGACTCACTTTCTTGCTTACTTACTTACTTATTTACTTACTAACTTACTTACTTAGTCACTTAGTTTTTGCTTTTTTGTTTGTTGTTATTAACGACCCTTTAAGCTTACTTACAAACATACCTACCTACTTATTTACTCACTAACTTACTATACTTACTTATTGACTGACTCACACTTGAACTTACTTACTTACTTGAACTTACTTACTTACTTGAACTTACTTACTTACTTGAACTTACTTACTTACTTGAACTTACTTACTTACTTGAACTTACTTACTTACTTGAACTTACTTACTTGAGCTTGCTTACTTACTTACCTACTTACTTACTAACTTACTTACTTAGTTTTTGTTTTTTTATAGTCACTTTAACACTCTTGGGTCATTCGTGACTTGTCCGGGGTAATATTTTAACTCGTAAGTTTGGCGTGAGAGGTACGGATGTTAACCACTACGCCAGAGTCGTCCCCATTGTTTGTTTTTTTTTTGTTTTTTTATTAACGACCTTTTAAGCTTACTTCCATACATACTTACTTATTTACTCACTAACTTACTTACTTACTTACTGACTCACTATCTTACTTACTTAGTTTTTGTTTGTTTTCCTAGCGACCCTTTAAGCTTACTTGCTTACTTATTTACTCACGATCTTACTTACTAGCTTACTTACATACTAACTTACTTACTTACTAACTTACTTACTTACTTACTTACTTAGTGACTCAATATCTTACTTACTTACTAACTACCTTACTTATTTACTTACTTACTTAGTTTTTATTTGTTTTCCTAACGACCCTTTAAGCTTACTTGCTTACTTTCTTACTTACTCACTAACATACTTACTTACTTACTTACTTACGTACTGGCTCACTTTCTTACTTACTTACTTATTTACTTACTAACTTACTTATTTAGTTTTTGTTTGTTTTCCTAACGACCCTTTAAGCTTACTTACTTACCCACTTATTTGCTCACTAACTTACTTACTTACTGACTCACTATCTTACTTACTTACTTACTAAATAACTAACTTAGTTGTTGTTTGTTTTATTAACGACTCTTTAACCTTATTTACTTACTTACTTATTTACTCACTAACTTACTTTCTTACTTACTGACTCACTATCTTACTTATTACTAACTCACTATTTTACTTACTAACTAACTAACTAACTAACTAACCTACTTACTTACTAACTAACTTACGTAGTTTTTGTTTGTTTTCCTAACGACCCTTTAAGCTTACTTACTTACTTATTTACTCACGATCTTACTTTCTTACTTACTAACTAACTTACTTACTCACTTACTTACTAACTAACTTACTTAGTTTTTGTTTGTTTTCCTAATGACCCTTTAAGCTTACTTACTCACTTATTTACTCACGATCTTACTTACTAACATACTAACTTACTTACTTACTTACTCACTTATTTATTCACGATCTTACTTACTTACTTACTTACTTACTAACTTACTTACTTACTTACTAACTTACTTACTTACTTACTCACTTACTTACTGACTCACTATCTTATTTACTTACTTACTAACTACCTTACTTACTTACTAAGTTTTTATTTGTTTTCCTAACGACCCTTTAAGCTTACTTGCTTACTTACTTACTTACTTACTCACTAACTTACTTACTTACTTACTTACTGGCTCACTTACTGGCTCACTTTCTTACTTACTTACTTATTTGCTTACTAACTTACTTACTTAGTTAGTTTTTGTTTGTTTTCCTAACGACTTTCTAAGCTTACTTACTTACCCACTTATTTGCTCACTAACTTACTTACTTACTGACTCACTATCTTACTTACTTACTTACTAAATAACTTACTTAGTTGTTGTTTGTTTTATTAACGACTCTTTAACCTTATTTACTTACTTACTTATTTACTCACTAACTTACTTTCTTACTTACTGACTCACTATCTTACTTATTACTAACTCACTATTTTACTTACTAACTAACTTACTAACTAACTAACCTACTTACTTACTAACTAACTTACGTAGTTTTTGTTTGTTTTCCTAACGACCCTTTAAGCTTACTTACTTACTTATTTACTCACGATCTTACTTACAGGGCGGACTCGATTATCCGGAGTCTTGAAAAAAATTTCACTCCGGATAATCGAGCCCTCCGGATAATCGAGCCATAAAAAAAAATTTTTTTTTGGTCTTATGTGGTCTCATATAATGTTTTTAGTGGTCCCATTGAACGCTATTGAAGAATTATGGAATCGGACCGCTGGTTGTGTAGATATGGCCGGAACAAGTTCCGGCGTTTATGGGTCATGAGGCTAAATTTGACTTGAAAGGAACAAAACCCATTAAGCGACACATCAAATTAAATCAAAATTTGATATCAAGATCAATGGTGGAAAATATTAAGTACCTCGGACCATATTGGCCACTTCCGAAAAAGCTCCAGGAGCCCCGGGAAAGTGACCAGAATCGGACTTGGATAATAACCTATCATGAGGCACATTAAAATCTCAAGCTCCTGACCAGTTAGAAAATTACTGTCTTCGGCAAAGTTGTTCTAGAGATCATAATCTTTTCGCTGGTGGAGAGTAGTTCAGAATTTTCTCACTACGTAGCGCTAGAATACATGTGAAATTATCGCATGTGATATATCTCGAGATCATGACCAGATAGAAAATTACTGTCGTCGACAAAGTTGTTCAGAAGGTCAAGGCCTTTTCGTTGGTGGACAGTAGTTCAGCGTTTTCTCACTTCGCGGCACTAGTATACATGTAAAATTCTCGCAAATATATAAAATATTTCTAGATCCTTACCATATAAAAAGTTACTGTCTTCGGCAAAGTTTTTCATGAAGTCCAGATCTTTTCGTTGGTGGAGTAGTTCAGAAAATTCTCACTAAGTGGCGCTAGTATATACATGCAATTTTCGCATATACAATAGCTCAAGATCCTGAGCAGATAGAAAGTTTCTGTTTTCGGCAAACTTGTTCAGGGGGTCAAGACTTTTTGGCTGGTGGACAGTAGCCTAGAAATTTTTCACCAAATTGCGCTAGTAAACGTGTACAATTCTCGCGTATGCTAAGCTAGAGATTCTGAACAGGTAGAAAATGGCTGTCTTCGAAAAAGTTGTTCAAGATGTCAATGCCTATTGCTTGGTGCACAATAGTTCCGAATTTTCACACTACGTGGCGCTAGAATACACGTGAAATTCTCGTATGTGATTTGTTTCGAGATCTTGACCAGATAGAAAGTTACTGTCTACAACAAAGTTATTCAGAAGGTCAAAGTATTTTGGCTGGTGAACAATAGTTCAGAATTTTCTCATAAACTCTAGGCTTTAAACTCCTGAACAACTTTGTTCAAGACAGTATCTTTCTATCTGGTCAAGAACGTGAGATATTTTATATGCGAGAATTTCACATGTATACTACTGAACTACTGTCCACCAGCCAAAAGACCTTGACCTCCTGAACAACTTTCTATCTGATCAGGA